TGACTCTTCTGCGTGACTTGCTAAAAGCTGCTTGGGGGGAATCCTACTAACATGTCCTCATGACAACAACCCGCTGTAGAACCTCACATCATATTTAGAGGTTTCCAATTTTAAAGTAGTGTTTCCCACCTTCTCCCAATATAGATCTTGCCATATAAATTATTTATTGCACTCATTCACAATCTGGATAATAATGCAATTACAGGCTGGCATTTGCTCAGCTCCAATTGGCCAATAACCTTCTCCTCCAATGGTCTTCCCATGGGGTGGAGGGGGGTGGAGGGTTTGCAGGAGAAATCAAAGTGCTTGATTGCACTTTGCAATGCACCATTCAAGTATAGATAGTCCTCCGCTTACAACTAGTTGCTTAGTGACAGTTTGAAGTTACAATAGACCCCAAAAATCAAACTTATGATCCAGATTCAAAGTTCCAACATCCAGTCCCCCCTGCAATCAAGTGACTGCACTGTGGGCACTTAACAACCGACCCACATTTACGGATGGTTCTGATGGCGATTCACAACATTTTTTCTAGTAATCGGTGTTTTCTGCCAATTCAAAGATGGAAGAAATCTACATTAATGTGGTTATGAGGAAGTGTGTGCATGCCTCAATTTTTGACTCCTGGTGAATGCCTGGACAAGTCCTTGCAGTTTTCTTGGCAAGATTTCAGAAGTGGTTTGCCATTGCTTCCTAGGGCTGAGTCAGAAGGTCTGGCATAAGGTCACCCAGCTGGCGAAGCAGCGGCGGCTCTGCCCACCCGCCCGGACGTCATCAAATACAATCTGCACATGTGCAGAAGCAAGTGAACCAGTAGCAAAGGTAAGTGAAACTCACCCCTATGGAGAAGGCAGGACTAGAACTCCCTGTCTCAGGTTTTAGCTGGGTGTCTTAACCATGACACCAAACTGCCTCTCTATGAGGAAGTGTGGGGTCCTTGGTGCTCCCTGAGCTTGGTTGTTTTCTTGCACACAATTCATTACCCAACTAGGTGTTTTGCCCAAGCTTCGGATTCCTGAGGATATTGACACACACCAACGGTCCTTATCAAATTTATTAAGTAGCAAGAATAAACCAAAGTACAGGTCTCCTGCATGAGCTCTGTTACTGTTACCTGTTACCTGTTGTGGCTCCGTTACCTGAGCCTGTGTCATCGGCAGGAGAGGACTCCGAGAGTGAAGGAGAGGAGTTGGCAAGGCCTCCCTCTCCAGGACCCTCCTCTCTGGCAATGCCTTCGGTGTCCGCCGAAGGGCAAGAGATAGGGCCGGGGCCAAGCACGTCCACGCAGCCATGAGGGTAATGAGTCTTGGCTGGATCCACGCCAGCGTCACAGAGATAAGCGCGCGCAACAGAAGAAAAGGCGTGCCTGAGATTAGGCTGAGTCACTGGACCACACCCCACAGGATATAAAAGGGAGCGTGGTGGCCAGTCAAACCTTGTGACGAACAAAGCTGAAAGCTTCCACGCCATTCTACATTGCCAGACTTTTGCTATAGACTTTGCTGGATTATCTCTGGACTTGATTGACTCTGTAATTATTGAGCTATTTCTTTTGATGTACCAGAAGTGGGGAGAAGTTATCTCTCCTCTTCGTAAGTAATAAACTCTTGGCAGGCAGCCACTAGGTTGTTGCCAAGTTCCGTTATCATAAGGAAAAGGATTTTGCCGGCTGGTTTGGTCTTTAACTCTTGAACGTTTGTTGGTGTGTGTGCGTGTGGGACGGGGACAGAACATTACCAATCCACCCCAACCTGCCTGCATTGGCATCTTTATGAAAGCATTGGCTTCTTTTAACATTTAGGAAAGTGACTTCTGGGTTGATAAGGAAGAGAATTTGCAGCTGGAAAGGGAACCGACTTTCTGTCGTGTTTATTTCTGTTTAGAATATTTACGATGACTCCTCTCCCTTCATAAGGGAACGTCCCTAGGACAGCAATAAAAGATTAAAAATGAAAGCAGCAGAAAACATATTAAAATATGTAGGAAAAGAATAAAAACTGAATTGCGGGAAAGTTTTGTTTTAACCCCAGGGGCAGTTTATTCCAGGAGGAAGGCTCTGGGGTGCGGAAGTGGGGTCAAAAATGGCAGAGGGTGGCTGCAACAAAAAATCTGATATCCTTCCCTGGCAAACACCCCTGCATGTGTGGGTCCACAGGGGAGGCAAACACTGCACCAAAATGAAAATTGTGATATCATAGTGCAAACCTTACTCCTTTTATACACACTGTCAGATTTTGTCCACTTATACTGTTGTGATATCATAATGCGCCTTTTGGCTAAATCTTGGCTCATTGCAGGCATCCCCTGGTGGTGAGATTGAGCATTGCATGTTATCCATCTATATCAGGGGTCTCCAACCTTGGCAACGTGGGGAATTCTGGGAGTTGAAGTCCACCAGGCTTAAAGTTGCCAAGGTTGGAGACCCCTGATCTATATACAGGGTAGTGTCAACAGGTAGTCCTCGTTTAGCAATTGTTCAGAGTTACAACGGTGATGAAAAAGTAACTTTGCAGCCAGTCTTTGCATTTAGAACCTTTGAATATTAGTAGCTCGGGTCGGTGGTTACGTTGTTGGTTTGAGCTCCGAACTTGGCGATTTGGTTGCAAACATTTCATCCCCATTCGAGGAGACATCTTCAGTGCGCTTCGGATTGTTCTTCTCTGGAGGGGGAGCACTGGCCTTTAAATACCTTTTGGAGTCCTAGTCTGATTTCGGGTTGTATGATTGGCTGGCTGTAGTTGCTGAGTCATAGCCTTTGGTTTTAAGGACCATCCGTGTGAGCTTGGAGCCCAGGCTCAGACCAGGGATGAAATGCAGCAAGTTCTGGAGAACCTGTAGCGGAAATTTTGAGCAGTTTGGAGAACTGGCAAATGCCACCTCTGGTTGGCCTCAGAGTGAGGTGGGAATGGAGATTTTGCAATATCCTTCCCCCAGGATGGGGAGGGAATGGAGATTTTGCAGTATCCTTCCCCCAGGATGGAGAGGGAATGGAGATTTTGCAATATCCTTCCCCCAGGATGGGGAGGGAATGGAGATTTTGCAGTATCCTTCCCCTGCCACGCCCACCAAGCTACACCCACAGAACTGGTAGTAAAAAATTTTTGAATCCCACCACTGGCTCAGATCAACAACTTTTCAGGTTGGTGTGGCAAATGGAAGCTGAAGTAAGATCCTAAGCACCATTGCGGCTTCACTTGGTGGCTGCATTGTTTAACAACTGAGTTGCTGGTGCCAATTTGGCACAATGAGAACTACCTGTATTTCTATGTCCTTTTTGGTGGGGTGGAGTGCCTTAAATTCAGGTAACCTTCCTAAAGAAGGAGCAGAGACCTACTTTTCCCTGACTATGCGTGCCCCTGAAGAACCCCCCCCTCCCAAGAAACAGCAATTCAACCCATCATTTCTCTTTTGTATGCATGCCAGCCTTTCAGAACCACACAGGCAGTGGCTTTGCCTTGTGCAGCAGAAACCCAGCGGCTGCATAATTACCCATAACAGGGCCTGGAATTTTTTTTAAAAAACTGTCAAAAGCGGTTTGCTTTTCTCAGGGGCCCTCCAACCCAAACGCCCCCTCCTCTGCACCCAGTCCTAAAAGCCGGTTTTTCTGGCTGCTTCCCAGGGAAGCCGAGGTCACAAAATGAAAAGGTTTGCAAAGTGCCGTTCATCAAGGATTTAATTTAGTGCCGGGCGACCAGTGCCCACGTAACGCTGTTGGGTGACTCACCGCCACATAAGTGGTGAGTCAGACCCATTCAGAATTGTGCGGTGGTGTGTGTGTGTGTGTGTGTGTGTGTGTGTGTGTGTTTAAGGCTCCCTTTGTGTAAAGAAGGATTCTGCACAGATGGTGTCGTGTGGTAACCTTGTGTAATGGAATTTCCATGATACGTTCCCCATGGGAAGGGATATAACAGAGAGTGCCAAAATACCCATTTTTCCATCCAGCCCTTTTGGAGTGCAAAATCTAGAGATGCTAAAAGTATCGTTTGGCATTACTCAGCGCAGTATTTTCTGCACGTTCCACACGGCTTCCATACAGTTCGTGCTTTGAGGCCAAAAGCAGGGTGGTAGAATAACAGAATAACAGAGTTGGAAGGCACCTTGGAGGTCTTCTAGTCCAACCCTCTGCTCAGGCAGGAAACCCTATACCAGTGATGGCTAACCTTTTTGCCGTCACGTGCCAAAAGCGGGGGGGGGAGCGTGGGAGTGTCACATGCGTGTGTGCCCACACCCATAATTCAATGTGCCCCCACGCATGCGCACGTGAACCCTCTCCCGCAGGACTGTTTCCGGCCTCCGGAGGGCCTCGGGGGGAGGGGGAAGGCCGTTTTTGCTCTTCCCAGGCTCCTAGAAAGCTTCCGGAGCCTGGGGAGGGTGAAAAATGGGCCTGGAGGCCCTCTGGAGGCCGGAAACAGCCTGTTTCCCAACTTCTGGTGGGCCTGGAAGGCTGACCTAGGACAATACTCACATGACCACTGATATGGCTCTGTGTGCCATCTGTGGCACGCGTGCCATAGGTTTGCCATCACGGCCCTATACCCATGATGGCGAACCTATGAAGCACGTGCCACAAGGGGCGCATGGAGCCATATCTGTGGGCACGCAAGCGTTGCCCTAACTCAGCTCCAGCATGCATGCATACGTCATCCAGCTAATTTTTGGGCCTTTTGAGTTGACCGGAAATTGGGAAACGGGCAGTTTCTGGCCTCCGGGGAGGTGGGGAAGGCCGTTTTTGCCCTTCCCAGGCCTGCCGTGCCATTGTGTGCCAAAAGTGGGGGGACCGCAGGGTGTGTGTGTGTGTGTGTGGCATGTGCATGCACGGGGGGCGGTCACACTGAATTATGGGTTTCGGCACGCGGGTGCTCGACCCCCCATTTCTCCCCCCTCCCGCTTTTGGCACATGATGGCAAAAAGGTTAGCCATCACTGCCCTATACCATATTGTAAGGTCCCAAAATATACTTGAGTCACCAGAATGCCAAAGAGAGAGACTCAAGACGAGGCTTGCAGAAAGCAGATTTTATTTATGGCCAAAAACAAAATACTGGGTGGGACTATAATCAGAACATACAGATACAATGCATGTGAGGAGATAGCCACACCTTGGGGAAGGCATGGTGTCCTTTTTATACCCTCAGAGACATTAGCTTAGTACCCAATTCTGGCCTCCTAATTTAGGTTTGTGTATTCCTTGTTGCCCTGCAAAGGAATAGAAGCCTCCCAATTAGCTTTATCTCTTCCTTGTGCATTCCTTTGATCTCCCAATTGCTCATTTGGTCCCCTGGTTCTGCAAGGAAGGAGCTTATACAGATCAAAGGTGTAAGTTAGGGCTGAAGTGTAAATTATCCCTCGGATGATGACTGCAGTTCCAACTGAGATACGTACCATGCTCTTCACAAGAAAAAGAGGAAGAAGATTGATATGGGTTCAGATCAAATGGCAGGAACATATGTTTGACAAATACCAGATACATTATAGAGGCCTAATAACAGAATATGTTTGTTACAGGAGATAAAATATAAAGGCATAATATATGTGATACAAATACAAAGGCATATTTGTGTTACAGATATAAAGATACAATATATGTGTGTTATTCAAATACAAAGGCTATTACAGCAACCTAATGGTTACAGAATAACAAGTTTCTACTAATTCTAGTATACCAGTATATCATAATCTAGTATTATTTATTATATCCTTATTACTGTTTCCCTTCAATATCAAACAAATGGTTGTCAAATATCTTCTTAAAATCCTCCAGTGTTGGAGCACCCACAATTTCTGGAGGTAAGTCGTTCCACCGGTTAATTGTTCGAGCTATCAGGAAATTTCTCCTTAGTTCTAAGTTGCCAAACCTTTACTAGATACTAGCATTCAAATATTTATCAGATACTCACATTCAAACATTAAAAACTACTATACAGTATGTTAACTGGCAAATCCAGAATAAAAAACCTGCAACATCTAATTTGCAAGATTTAGAAACAGAATATTCTATTTAGAAGATCTGTGATGGATTTAACTCGCTTAAAACTGAAAGCAGCCCTGTAAATAATGGAAAAAGGAAAGGACCTTATTTCACCATGTGTGCTTCCATAAAAATTGTGGGGTGTTGTTAAAATTGTTGCTTTTTTTTTTTTAATGGAACACCTCTGCCCTCTTAACATAGTAAATGATAATGGGGGGGAAACTTCCCATGTTCTGCAGCTTGCAGAATCAATGTTTCTGACATCGCCACAGCATTAGCCAGTGCTTATTTAAGGGAATGTTCAAACTGTTTCCCAAGCTGATTTTAGATCACAATAGAGAATAACAGCCTAGGAAAGTCACAAACTTCAGTTTAAAGTCTCTAATACAGTGTTTCTCAACCTTGGAAGCTTGAAGATGGGGGGACTTCAACTCCCAGAAACCCCCAGCCAGCGTTGCTGGCTGGGGGATTCTGGGAGTTGAAGTCCACCCCATCTTCAAGCTTCCAAGGTTGAGAAACACTGCTCTAATAGAAAATTGGATAGCTGAATGAACAATTTGTACTCAGAAAGAAAACCGGGACAAAACTTGTCTGTGAGGAATAGAAATAACAGACCAATATACTCTGGAGCAGCGTTTTCTCAATTTTAGCAGCTTTCAGATGAGTGGACTTCAATTCCCAGAATTCCCCAGCCAGCACATGCTCTATTGGTCTGTAATGCCTATTTTGCTTATGTGAGTAAAACGTAACCAGCATGAAAACTAGAATGAAGCTGATGCTTAATGAACAGTAGTTGCTCAAATGAAGACTCAAATCGAGTCCGACACAGGAAGTCCTTGACTTACAAATTGCAACCGTTTGTTTAATGGCTGTTCAAAGTTACAATGGCACTGAAAAAATGACTTGTGACCATTTTTCACATCGACAACTATTGCAGCATCCCCAGGCGTCAGGTGATTAAAATTCAGACGCCTGGCAACTACTTATGGTCACATGATCAAGGTTTGACTGCTTGGCAACTGGCGTGTATTTATGACAGCTGCACTGTCCCGGGGATGACATGATCGCCATTTTCATAAGCCGTGGTGGCACAATGGTTAGAATGCAGTATTGCGGGCTAATTCTGCCAACTGTTAGCAGTTCAATTCTGACTGGCTCAAGGTTGACTCAACCTTCCAGCCTTCCAATGTTGGTAAAATGAGGACTCCAGCTTGTTGAGGGCAGGATGCTGACTCTGTAAGCCACTTAGAGAGGGCTGTAAAGCACTGCGAAGCGATATATAAGTGCTATATTGCTATTTGTAACCTGGATATAATGGATGGAAACTGACCAAGGAGAGATTCAACCTAGAAATAAGAAGACATTTTCTGACAGTGAGAACAATCAAGCAATGGAACAGAAGTTGTCTTCGGAAGTTGTGGGAGCTTCCTCACCAGTGGTGGGTTGCCCCCATTTCGCACCGTTGCGAACCAGTAGTAAAGGTAAGTAGAACCCACCCCTGTTCCTCACTGGAGGCTTTCGAGAAGAGACTGGACTGCCGTCAGTCAGAAATGGGTAGTAGGGCAGAGGGTTGGACTAGATGACCTACAAGGTCCCTTCTGACTCTTGTTATTCTGTTATCTGTATTTAGGATGATTGCATTATCCCGGGGTCATGTCACCATCTTTTGTGACCTTCTGACAAGCAAAGTCAACGGGGAAGTCAGATTCACTTAACTGTTAACCAGCATGCCTTGAAGCGTCCGGGGGTCTGGAAGCTGGCATAAAAATTCATATATCGAAGAACATGCATGCCATTTGATAAGAGCCTGGTGGCGCAGCAGACTAATAGCCTGTTATTATCATCCAGCTGCCTGCAATTACTGCTAGTTCGAATCTCGCCAAGGCTCAAGGTTGACTCAGCCTTCCATCCTTTCTAAGGTAGGTAAATTGAGGACCCAGTTTGTGGGGGCAATAAGCTGACTTTGTATAAATATACAAAAGTATGAAGGCTATTGCTTAACGCATTGTAAGCCGCCCTGAGTCTCCGGAGAAGGGCGGCATATAAATCAAATTAAAACAAAAACAAAAAACGGGCCCTGCCTCACCAGTGAGTGCTTTTGCCTTAAGCTGCTCTTACCCCCCCCCCCCCTTTTCCATCCTCCCTCTCCCCAAACAGCTCTTCCCCTTTTTTTTCCAAAAGCCACTAAGCATCTCTCCTCTCTGCAGAGTTATTACGTTTCCCCACCTGTCTTTGAGTGGGCAGAAAACTCCAGCAGTGTGAAATCGGCAGCCTCCATTGCCAAGTCCTACTGTGCCTCTCCTGACTCCCCATCAAGGCAATAAGTGACAAAGCTGGAGGGTGCTGTGATGTAGTGAGGAATAAGGGAAGGGACCAATTTAATCCTGCCTAAACCTGCCTGGCTAGAGCCTGAGTAGTTTTTCCCCCCATTTTTTTTTTTTTTTTGCTTTCTTATCAGACTTTTACCTTCAGAGGTCATGTTGTACCCCTGGAACCTAATCACGAAACAATGAGACACTCTTGCTAAAATAGCCCAGCTTGGCAGCTTGACTCACCTACGCCGTGTGGACATCTGAGCCCTCTCTGCTCAGTCCTGTTTCTTGGCTGGAGAGAAATTTCTACAGCCTGATATTTATCAAAGGCCAAAAACGGGAAAAAAAACCACCCACTGTGTGGGCAGGTTAATCATGAACTCCTAGGAACAATATTAACCATCATTTCCTGACAGGTAGAAAGATAAATATTATTGTTAGATTAGATCTCATGTGCAGTGGTTATACAGGCAGGTAGTCCTTGTTTAACAACCACAATCAGGACTGGTTGCTAAGCAAAACCATGACTGCACTACAATCTTGCTTCAGTTTTCCTTTGCTTTACAGACCTGGTTACGGTTATAAATCTCCTTCCACTTATGACTGTATGACTGTATGACTGTAATTTTGTTGCTTGTATCATTTGTACCCTATGACTATCATTAAGTGTTGTACCTTATGATTCTTGATGAATATGTATCTTTTCTTTTATGTACACTGAGAGCATATGCACCAAGAGCCAGGAGCCCTGGTGGCGCAGCAGACTAAAGCACTGTTATTAACATCAGCTGCCTGCAATTACTGCAAGTTCAAATCTCACCAGGCTCACCAGGCTCAAGGTTGACTCAGCCTTCAAATCCTTTCTAAGGTAGGTAAAATGAGGACCTGCATTGTGGGGGCAATAAATTGACTTTGTATAAATATACAAAAGTATGAAGGCTATTGCTTAATGCATTGTAAGCCGCCCTGAGTCTCCGGAGAAGGGTGGCATATAAATAAATAAATAAATAAAAAGACAAATTCCTTGTGTGTCCAATCACACTTGGCCAATAAAAAAATTGAAAATTGAAAAGCAATATCACCCACCTTCTTAGATTTTGTTTTTCTTTTTTTAGGACCCCGTAATCCCTTTATTCGGAATGGAGTCAGGGCAACTGAATGGAACTGAGCGTTTACTGGCCGGTTGTCCTTCCTGATGCCTATTCATGCCTCCATCTGCTCTGAAATACTTTAGCCTTCATCTCCAAACCATTACACACTTACTACAAGCATCCCCTTGATATGTAGAAGGTATCTCCATATCAACGACTAGCGACTGAAATAGTATAGGGTTTTGTGCCTGAGCAGTGGGCTGGCTAGAAGACTTCCAAGGTCCCTTCCAAATCTGTTGTTCAGTCTCACTATTATTATATTACTCAGGCCAATAACAAAAGTAATAAAAATAAGTTTAATAACAAAATAACAAACTTGTTTGGAATGTTCACTGTGTCCTGGGAAATAATGCGTTTTTCCTTTGTTTCTATTGGCAGCTTCTATAAAAGAAAGTAGAACTGGATTGGGAAAATGCATACCTGTGCGCATACACACCAGTAAATCTTGGCTGTACACCACCCTGAGTCCTTCAGGAGAAGGGCGGTATACAAATTTAATAAACCTAAACCTAACCTAAACCTAAATCACATCGGAGCAAATGGCCTTTTATTATCTTTTGTCGGAATGACTTGGTTTGGTACTGGTTCGCTGGCTGCGCATGCGCCAAACAGTGCTGCATGCGCATGCACAGTGCATACCACACACACACTCTGCATGTGTGCACTTGCGCAGTACGTGCCAAAAGGAGGCTTGGGAAGATAAATAGAAGCGAGGGGAGGGGATCAGCTGTCGCGCGTGATTTAGCTTCGCTAGAAAGCAGGATTTCCTGCTTTCTAGCGAAGCTAAACTGTGCTGCACAGCTGATCACCCCCAGCTGTTCTACTTACCTTCCCAAGCCTCCTTTTGGTGCATGCTGCCCGCGCATGCATGCACAGTATGTACCAAAAGGAGGCTTGGGAAAGTAAGTAGAACAGCGCGAGGGAGGAATCAGCTGTGGCACGCGATTTTAGCTTTGC